TATATATATATATATATATATATATATATATATATATATATATATATTTTCAAATTCTTATTTTTATCTTATTTTATAAAATGTATAATTTACATCTCAATAATCCCAAAGTTATATAACTAAAGATTAAAAAAATTAATTAAATTACTTAATTGTAAAGCAGATACAACCAAACTCTCAAAATATTGAAAAAAAAAGAAAGCTTACTTTATAGAGTCAGGTCAACAATATCAGCCAGACAGAACTATGCAGAACTAATTGGGAAATGGCTTCAATGAAGAGATGAACTAGTCCACACCCTTTTAAGGCAACATGTGACTAAAGAGGGAAGGAATTTTTATAATCAGCATAAATATTTTAGGAGCTTTTCAAATGACAAGTCTATTTTAAGTAGAAAAATATTATTTACAAATAATTCTTTTTGTCATTTGCTAACCTATAACATCATTTACTTTTGTATTAGAAAGGTTTACTGCAGAAATTTAAAAGTATGATGTGGGGTTTAAAACTGACCAACCAATTGTTCTAAGGTCAGGCTTCATATAAATTACTACCCTGAAAGCTTCCCTAATGACTTGTTTTCCTATTTAAATTGTATAGCGGATAATTTGGAAATGATCAGTAACTGAAAACAGTTTGTATTAATTAATTTTTACTACGATCACAGACCAGCATTAACTGCAAACAGTTTGAAGGAAAAAGCACAATGAACGTTATAAATATCTCAATATCAAAATATCAAACTCTATGGAGTCAATGTTGCATATGCTAGCACAAAAGTATTCAAAAGACAAATCATACCCCCATTCTCTTAAAATGCTACGGAGGGATAACGTTACTGAGTTTCTTAGGCTGTTTTAAAATATAATATGAAAAATCTATGTGGTTTGTACTGTAATCACTGTTCTGTGCTCTGAAGGTAAAACTAATTGGTTTTTTCTTACATTTTAATATAATTTCCTCCAAATTATTAGTCCCCCCCAAATTATTACTCATTAATACCTATTAAATACTTATTTTTTAACTTTTTAAAAATACTTTCCAATTAGTGTAAACTGAAAATATTTTGACATCTAAAAATACTTCATTTTTATTAAAGGCAAAATAAAACAGCTGCATTCAATGGCATTAATGCATTTTTCCCAAAAAGCAAAGGCAATTCTGGGTTAGAAAAACTTTCTGTTTAGAGCAGCTGACGGGATAATTCCAAATCATGTAGAAGCTGCATTTTATTTCTTCTTCTTGCATTATGACTCCCAGTCATAAATTTCCAAATCATAGTCATGATTTCCATGACGATGGAAAGTTAAGTTGTCATGAGACCAACTTAAGGTTTATGGCTAGCCCTCGTAATCAGTCCATATTAATAGTTACAATGTCATTCAACCATACTACCCTCAATTCCTGTCTATCACTTTTCAATACAAGTATTGAGTCTATAGCAGTTATAGAAATCCTGAGCATAGAGACAAGTCTGACACCAAAAATGCCAATATCTAAAGCTCAATAAGACAATACTTTAGCTTTCTAAGACATTCTTTTAATGAAGTAGAGCAAAATAACTTCAAAATACTAGGACAATAATAACACAATGAAATTATTATCAAGTAATTTGTGTTATCTATGTTAACACAATACTATAATTCTGTGTTACATTCTGTGATTACTTCCTCCCAAGCCTATTACTCACTATCCCACTCTGAATCACATACACATGCACACTCAGAATACTACTTTAGGGACACTGAGAAGTTCATTAAAATATATGCCACATCAGTGATCCGTCTTTACATTTCTGTAAAAATTCATGTCATTTTGCAGCAACAGGCAGACTAAAATCTCAACACTAGAAAAGTACTTTTTAATCCACATAATTCAGCAGAGACTTTCTTGAAATGCAATAGTCCAAACATTTAATACAAGACTGCACAATATAACATTTTTCTCTGCAGATTTTCCAAGATTTCCTTTGGCTTTACTCTTTTTTCTGATCCCTCTAAAAATCTACAAGCACAAATGTCATAGACAGCAGTTGGACCTAGCAACATTCATGCTTTTGCTTTCACAAGTACTATTTGATTCAGAGGCTACTTTGACCCAAAAGCTTAAAGGCTAATCTATGAATGGGGTTCACACAATACGAACTATGGCTACTATGTAATACCAAATACCAAATTGAAAGAGGAGTGGATTTTGCTGGGCAACGACTTCAAGTTCCTAAACCAAGTATTTATACAGAGTATAAATGTGACCTTGTATGAACTGCTCATAATATGCTATTTAAACAAACATTGCAAACCCATTGGTTTATCTGGAGGCCAGGTCTTAAATCAGTTACAGTCCTATGAATTACAAAATCCTCAAGGAATATGCGCAATTTCAGGCCAAGGAACCATAAATGTCTCTCAGTCATCGGGGACTAATTTTTCAAAATCTGTCCCTAACTTTGCCGGGGTGGAAAAGTGGCAGCCCTATTTTATTTTTTTTAAAGGGCGAAAGCTAATTTTTTAAAAGCTTTTATAAATGGCCTCCCTTCCCTTATGGTCCGCGGCATTGCAGCATAAAGCTTCCAGCGGGGCTGCTGGAACCAAAGCGGGATCCATCAAGCGACCCGCCGGACTGAAGAAAATAACCGAGCGACCACACCCAGCTGCACGGATGGGGACCGAAGGTGTGGGAGGAAAATCGGCCCGGGCAACTTTTTCCGGATCGGCCTTACCTCTGCAAAGGGCCGCCAGCAGCAGAAGCGCTAAGGGGAGGCTAAGGGCGAGTCTCCCCATGGTGGGTCCGAGGGCCTTTGAGCAGCTGCTTCTCTCCAAGTCTTGATGTAAACTTTCAGAGACGCCCAGAGCGCCAGGAAAGCGCCTTCCTCTCTTTTCGTTCTCCGCTTCCCCCCCACCCTGCCCTCGCAGAAGGAGCGTCGATTCTTACGTAAGAACTGCAACACAACAACCCCAAAGTTAGGGACTGGGCGAAAACAAGAGTAAACTGCGCTACCCCTAAACTGTGGGGGCTGCCCTCCGGGAACAGACCAACCAATCCTGGGAAATAGCTAAATATCGGCCGCCAATCAAAGGGGCGGAGGGAATGTCTGTTAACCTCCCCCTCCCCGCGATGTCTAGCAGGGAAGACACAAGCGTTGAGTCATGTCCCCGTAATAGGAAACCCGCAGGCGAGAGCCTCACGGGGTGTGGCGCGTTTGGGATTTTTTTTTAAGCTGGAGGGAAGGGGTGTTCCTAGAGTTTATTGTCGAGAGATGGTTGTAAATGCTTCTAAGTAGACTTTGCTCCCGAGGCAAGAATTTGGACATTTACTTCGATGTCAAGAAACGGGGGGAAAATCCATCTTCAAAAATATTGTACTCTTTTCTGGTTCGTCTTTTGATAAGCGTGCCTATATTGGAAATGAAGCTCGTGTTCTTCTTTATTGTACCCTCCATCGGGACTCGAGGACCCTCCTTATAATTCCTTAACGTGGTAAAACACCCAGGAAATTCTTATTTTTAATGTGTTTCTATTTTCAGTTGTGATTAGCGTCC